TGTGTGTGTGTGTGTGTGTGTGTGTGTGTGTGTGTGTGTGTGTGTGTACACATACACAAAATCGACTGTTACTCGGCCATATAAAAGAATGAAATAATGCCATTTGCAGCAACATGGATGGACCTAGAGATTGTCATACTAAGTGAAGTTAAGTCAGACAGAGAAAGACAAATACCATATACTATCACTTATATGTCGAATCTAAAACAATAATATAGATCAGCTTATTTACAAAACAGAAAAAGACTCACAGACATAGGAAAAAAACTTATATTTATCAAAGGGGAAAAGGGAGGGGGAGGGACATGCTACTCTATGTATAATAAACAACAAGGATTTACTGTAGAGCACAGGGAACCATACCTAATATCTTATAATAACCTATAATGGAAAAGAATCTGAAGCTGTATACCTGAAAATAACACAATATTGTTAATCAACTATAGTTAAATTTTAAAAAAATGTTTTAAAAGCATAATTTCCTCATAGGCAATGTTGCCTGTGAACAAAGGCAGTTTTACTTTTTCTAAAAAAAAACTAAAAGGAGGAGGAGGGGGTAAAGGAAGGGAACGAACCTCCAGAACAAAGATGGGCGGAGGGGTGTTGGGGATCCAGTTGGGATGGGTTGAGGAAGAGGAGCTACGCACAGGTCCCTGAGACCTCAGGCTGGGGCTCTGAGGCTTCAGAGAGCAGACCAGGCTTTGGCCTTGATGACGCAGGGCCTAGGAGCAAGGCTGGTGAAATGGGACCCAGCCGTGGACCATTCTGTGGGGAAACTGGTGGACTCACCTAGGGGTGACTCATGGGGATGGCTGAGATGGTCACCTGTCATGGGAGGAACATGAAAAGGGCCAAGGTTTAGCAACTAAACATGAGTATGAAGTGACTAAAATGAGGGCATGGGAGAGAGAGCAGAAAAAGCAAGGAACAGGCCTGATGGGGAACAAACAATGCATTTACGGAAAAGGGGCCCAAGTGTTATATGGGCACCCTGGACCTCTGAAGCCAGTTAATCATTCCTGAAATTCCTGATCCTGGTGGCCCTCTCCAGAGGAAGATAAGACCTATCCT